GGGGGGGGCGCTCAAAGGGAACTGGGGGACACCGGGAGGGGGATGGAGCACTCGGTGGGGGCAATGGGGCAAGGTGGGAGAGACTGGGAGGGGGATGAAGCACTGGGGGGGAACTGGGGAGCACTGGGAGGGACCGAGGGACACTGGCAGGGTGGTGGGGCACCGGGAGAGCAGCGGGACAGACTGGGAGGGACTGGGGCGTGCTGGGGGCTGCAGCTGTCACTGTGCGGTGCTGGTGTGTACTGGGAGCACTGGTTTCGTGCAGGGCGTGGAGTTCTTTGACGAGAAGCTGAATTCACTGTGCATGGCCTGGCTGGTGGATCACGGTGAGGGAACTGGAGGAGACTGGGGGGCACTGGGAGCACTGGGGGGTGCTGGGAGGTGCTGGGAGCACTGGGATGGTGGTGGGGGCACGGGGAGGGCACTGGGAGCACCGGGACGGGGCAGCAGGGCAGGCTGGGAGGAGCTGTGTGTCAGCGGGGCTGCAGATGGTCCTCAGTGGTCCTCACTGCTCCTCACTGCTCCTCACTGGTCCTTACTGGTCCTTACTGTGCCCGCAGTGTACGCCATCCGGGAAGCGGCCACCAGCAACCTGCGCAAACTGGTGGAGCGCTTTGGGCAGGAGTGGGCGCAGGGCACCATCGTGCCCAAGGTGCTGGCGATGGCCACCGACCCCAACTACCTGCACCGCATGACCACGCTCTTCTGCATCAACGTGAGCCTCCGCCCTCCGTCCCCCCACGTCCCCATGGGCCCTGGGACGGCCGCCTCGTCCCCGCCGCGTCCCCGTTGTCCCCACGCCGTCCCCCCTGACGCCCCCCCCCCCCCCCCCAGGTGCTGTCGGAGGTGTGCGGGCAGGAGATCACCACCAAGCAGATGCTGCCCACGGTGCTGCGGATGGCGGCCGACGCCGTGGCCAACGTGCGCTTCAACGTGGCCAAATCGCTGCAGCGCATCGGGCCCATCCTGGACAGCAGGTGGGGGGCGCCAACCCCCTCCTTGGGGACGGGGATGTCACCCCTAAGCCCCCTCGGGGTCAGCCGTGTCACCCCTGCCTCTTCTCAACCCCTCCTGGGGGTGGGGATGGTCCCCAAATCCCCCCTTCCGGAGGGCGGTGGTTTCCCCGGAGCTCCCCTTGGGGACAGCTGTGTCACCCCCAGGCCCCATGGTGACGCTGATGTCACCCGGTGTCCCCCCAGCACGCTGCAGAACGAGGTGAAGCCGGTGCTGGAGAAGCTGACGCAGGACCAAGATGTGGACGTCAAATACTTCGCCCAGGAGGCGCTGAGTGGTGCGGGGACATCTGGGGGGG